GGCGCGGCGCCACCATCAACGTGCCCGCTGCCGCGTGAGTATGCTCCTACGTAGGCGTCGGGGTGCAGGCTGTGGGGGCCAGGGCCTGCCGCGCACCTCCCGTGCACGCCTGCGTGCCCGCGCTGCAGCCCCAGCCACCCACCCCACAAGCCTCCCCATGCCGGCCTCTGCCCACGCGTGCAGGGCATGCGGGGGAGGCGTGCGTTCTGGCCGTGTTTGACTCCCTCATCGCCCCCGCCGCCCGCCGCTTCCGCCCCGACATCATCCTCGTCTCCGCCGGATTCGACGCGCACTGGCGGGACCCCTTCCAGCAGCTGCAGTTCAGGTGTGGGGCTGGTGTGGGGAGGGAGGGGGGTGCAGGCGGGCGGCGGTCCGGCGGGCAGCGCCCCGTCTCGTGTCCAAGCCATGGCGGCAGGCAGGAGGGGACAGCCTGGGCGAGCCAACCAGCCCCCCACCTGCCCCCTGAGCCCCCCGCCTGCGCCGCCTGCAGGAGCAGCACCTACCACAAGCTCGCGGTGCGGCTGAGGCAGCTGGCGGCGGCGCTGTGCGGCGGGCGGCTGGTGTTTTTGCTGGAGGGCGGGTACCATACAGAGGCGGTGGGGGAGTCGGTGTGCGAGGTGTTCCTGGCGCTGCTGGGGCGGCGCAGCGTGGAGGGGCAGGCGGCGCTGGAGCTGCCGCACGAGGAGCCGGTGGGGGAGGTGGGGGAGCTGGTGGCGCAGCTGCGAGGCATACACGGCCTGTAGGGCCGCCGCTCAGGCACGCTGGCGCTCCCCAGCTGCTCCTGTTGCCCCCCTGTTGGCCCCTGGCACCCTGCTTGGATGCACCTCTCCCTCTGCCTCTTGACTGCTGCCTCAAGCTGCTCTCTCCTCTTCCTTGCAATTTGACACCACTGGAGGGCCCAGCAGCGGTCTTCATATTGACTTGATGCAAGGGCGGCGAGGCGCTGGCCGGCGAAAAGTTGGCCAGACTGGCGCCGACTGCCCCGCACTGTGGCAAGCCATTCCGCCATGCACAGCGGCGCAACATTCTCTTTCCTAGCCGCACGGTGGAGCCTCGCGTTGCAGCGGCCGCCGCCGCCGCCTGAAGCTGCCGCCGCCCCCGCCGCTGCCGCTGCGCCGCCATGCCGCCATGCCGCCATTGGCGGGCGCCAAGCGCCAGTGCACCACAAACCTGTGGATGGCCATGTTTCAGCAGTGCAGCCTCTTTGCTATGCTGCTTGACATCAGCGTGCTGAGTCTGGCACCTGTTGCTCTGCCTTTCACGCAGATGCGGGTCTGCGTGCTGCGCCCGCTTGGCGGCGGTGCCCGGCGCTGGGTGGCGCGGACCAATCGATGTTCCTTTCCTCGAAAGCTTGCATGTCACACAGCTCTCCATATTTTGAAACAACGCAGCGCCTTGAAACCTCTAGGCAAGTTTGCCGCCGGAAGTCCCCTCTTTTGAGGCCTCGCCAGGGGACTCTGCTGCTGATTCGTGATTGCAGCAGTCATCGACAATAATTTGAGGGTCTGGCGAGCCCATCGGCGCCCTCCACTGTTTGCTGCCATCTGCTCAGGCCTCGCGGGCACCAGGCATGGGTCGCAGCAGAAGCCGCAGCAGGGATCGGGATAGGCGCAGGCGCAGCAGGAGCAGGTCGCGCGACCGGCGGCGGCGCAGCCGCTCCCGAGACCGGCGCCGCGACAGGAGCAGGAGCAGAGACCGGCGACGCGACAGGAGCAGGGACAGGGACAGGCATCGCAGCCGCAGCCGCACGCTAAAGGAGCAGCAGCCGGTGCGCGCTGCCGAGCCGTCAGGGACTGTGGCAGCGGCACCACTGCAGGCGCAGGCCCCGGCGCCAGTGGCAGCGGCAGGGCCGCCAGTGCAGCAGCAACAGGCGGCAGCGCCGGCGGCGGTGCCGCCGGTGCAGCCACCAGCCGGCGCTGCTGGCGAGTCTGCAGAGGACAAGAAGGCGGCCCGCCTGGCCAAGCTGGCGGCGTGGCGCCAGCAGCAGCCCGCGGCGCCGCCGCCGCCAGCTCCGCCGGCGCCGCCGCCTGCGCCGCCCGAGGCTGAGGGGGTGCTGAATGAGGAGGGGGATGCGGAGGAGGAGGAGGTGGACCCACTGGATGCCTTCATGGCGGCAGAGGTGGGGCGGCAGCGCTGCCGCAGCGCTAGCCTGCGCTGCCGTGCTGCATGCATGCCCCCGCGGCTTCCGCAAGCTGTTGCCGAGGCGGTGGTCGGAGCGCATGCGCTGGCGCCTGCTGCCGAGCCTGCGCCCTGCTTGCCGCGCAGGTGCTGCCCGAGGTGAAGGCCAAGGAGGAGGAGGAACGGCAGCGGGCGGCGGAGGAGCGGGCCAGGCTGAAAGAGCTGCTCAAGGTGGGCCCCGTCACAAGGGGGGATGGTTAGCGGGTGGGGATGGCGCTGCTTGCGAGGCAGCGGCCGGCGGTGTTTGTGTGTCGGCGTCGCCGGCGGGGCGCTGTGCCTGGCGAGCTGGCTCGCTGGCTGGGCGGCTTCCTGCAAGGGTTGCCTGGCTGCCTGCGCTGCTGCAGGGCGGCACGCTGCCAAAGGCACTGGAGGAGCTGATCCAGGATGAGCAGGAGGAGAAGGCAGACATGGAGCTGCAGGTGGGGGTGGGCGTGTGTGGGTGTGTGGGGAGGCGTGCGTGCCATGCCTGCGTCGGTGTGTGAGGCAGTGTGTGTGGCAGGCAGGCAGGCAGGCAGGCAGGCAGGCACGCCAGCGAGCGGTGGTGGCAGGGCACAAGCTGCACGCTCTGCTGGTCCTGCCACCGCTGCCTGCGCAGATCCCGGCGCACAAGGTGAAGCTGTTTGTGGGCGCCGGCGGCGAGAAGATCAAGTTCATCCAGCGCAAGTCCAAGTGCAGGATACAGGTGGGCGTGGTGTGATGCCGTGGAGCACGGGTGGTGGTGGTGGCTTGTGGCTGACTGGCGGGCGCTGGCGTGGGGCACGAGCGGCCCATGAGTGGTGCAGCCGTCCCCGGCAGCCGGCAAGATGGCAAACCAGAAATAGCACAGGCAGAGGGCGGAAGCAGTGACTGCCTGCACTTTGGCTGGGCTCACTTTGTATGCCTGGTGCGGCCGGCTGCTCTCTGCCGCGCGCAGGTGAAGAAGGACGAGAAGGAGCTGAATGTCGCCTGGGGGGCGGGCCCCGCCTTCAGCCTGTCCAAGAAGGGGCCGCAGACGACAGAGGGCGGCAAGGAGGTGGGAGCCAGAACTGCGCGGGGCCTGGCATGCGCTGCGACCGGCCAAGCACAGGCAGCAACAGTGCGGCACACGACGTACCTGCTGGTACCGCAGCCCTGCCGACTGCCGCACCTGCCCAGCTTCCTGCCCTGCCCTGCGCACCTGCCCGCCCACCCGCCCTCCCGCCCCCCGCAGATCAAGATGGCCACTGTGCAGCTGTTTGGCAGCGACGAGCAGTGCGCGGCCGCGGTGGCGATGATCAACGAAGCGGTGGACAACAAGGAGCAGAAGAGCAAGCAGCGGCAGAAGGAGTACGACAAGAAGAAGGAGGTGGGGCTGGGGGCTGGGGGCTGGGCTGCTTTGCTGTGCTGCCGGCTGCCTGCGTGCTGCCTGCCATCAGCTGGCGCAGCGAGCCCCGCGCCTTGCTCGGCAGCGCCGGCCGCCCACGTCGGCCGCCCGCCTGCGCGCTGCGCCTGCCCGCATGCAGGCCAAGCGGCTGGAGCGCCAGCTGTACCACATGCGCCACGCCCGCGACTACGAGGCGCTGGGCCTGCCGCTGGGCGCCTCCAAGGCCGACGCCAAGGCCGCCTTCCGCAAGCTGGCGCTCAAGTGGCACCCCGACAAGAACCCGGGTGGGTGGGTGGGTGCGTGTGCGTGGGTGGGGTGGGGAGGGGCAAGGGGCCGAGGGAGGGCCCCAGGAGCAGGAGGTGTGACTGGCTGGGGAGTCTCTGTAAGCACCTGCTGGCTCGCCTTCCCGCGCTGTGCTCCCCGCTGCCCATCCCACCCCTGACCTGACCTGCCCCTGCCTGGCCGCGGCCACCACGCCGTCGCCGCGGCCGCCCTCGCCGTGCACGCTGCAGACAACCGGGAGGAGGCTGAGGCCAAGTTCCAGGAGATCAGCCAGGCGTATGAGCGGCTGATGACGACGGATGAGGACCAGAAGGTGGAGCAGCTGGGCATGTGACTCAAGGGGGCAGAGGGCTGGCAGCTGTGCAGCTGGGCGTGGCCGTGCGAGGCCAGGCTGTGGCATCCAGATCGCCCGCGTCGGCCATTCATGCTTTGGTTGTGGTTACACCTGCTGCCGCCGCCACTCTGGCGACGTGCAAACGAGCAAACAAGCAATTGCATGAGGGGTGGTCGCGCCGCAAGGGCTGCGAGGCATGCAACACTGAGCAGCGAAGCAAGACAAGGGAGCAAAGTAAAAGGGGAGCCAGCAGGTCGGGCGGGCGGGTGCAGCGGGGTGCCAGCCATCCGCCCCCGCCGCCGCCGTGCTCTCAGCCGGTCTGCTGGCTCTTGCGGGACACTGTGCGCGCCTGGAAACCCGTCTTGATGGCTGCAGGCAGGCAGGTGAGGGGCGGTGAGGGGCAGCAGGGCATGCAGGGGTCGGCAGGCGGGGCAGAGCCAGCTTGCGCTGGCAACACATCTGCGCAGGCCCCCAGCATGCAGGCGACGCGGCGGGCGGGGAGGCTGCGGGCGGGCGGGCAGCACCCCTCACCCGACACGGTGCGCGAGGCGGAGCACTGCTGGCAGCGCAGGAACATGATGCGGGTGGACGAGTCGCGGTCCAGCAGCGTGTCCACGCTCTTGCAGCTGTTGCACAGCACGTAGTCGTTGATGTACCTGCGGTACCGTACCGGGAGGCAGTACCAGGAGGCGGCGCTTGGATCAGGACACGCAGCGGCACAGCAGGCTCAGGGCGCACGCAGGCCGAGCGCAGCGGAGCAGGCTCGGCTGGTGCATGGCGGCGGCGGCGCGCCCCAGCCAGGCCCCCCCACCTGCGCAGCACCGTCTCGAACGCCTTGGGCAGGAAGCGGCCCTTGACAATCAGCCGCTGCGTGCCGTCCAGCGAGCCGCTGGTGCCCAGCTCGGACAGCAGGAATTGCTGCGGGCGCAGGCGGGGCAGCAGCACGCGCCCAGCCGGTGAGGCCTCGGCGCGGCGCGGCAGGCAGCCGGTGTGGCGGCCCCGGGGCGCGCGCGAGCCTGAGAAACCGCAAGCACGGGCCACGCAGCCGGCAGGCCGCCGCGGCAGGGCAGGCGCCTGCTGCTGCTGCTGCTGCGCGCGCACCAGCACGTGCTCGTGGTTGCGGTTCATGCTCTTGCACAGCTCCATAAAGTTGGTGAACACCGTCTTCTTGGTGCCCTCCCGCGCCACCTGCGGCGGCTTGAGCGTGGTGCGCCGCCGCTCTCCCGTCAGCTCCGGGTTGTGCGCCTTGAGGATGCCAAACACGCGGTCTGCGGGGCGGGGCAGGCGGGGCAGGGGGTGGGGGAGGGGTCAGGGGGGACGGTGTT